AGTAATAACGGCCCGCATTGAAGCCATTGACAAACACATTGCCTTTCGTCCAGCCGTCCAATCGGACAAACGTATCGCTCGGACTCTCCTTTATATCCAATGATAACCTATAAAGTGATGGACTTTTGATGCCCTCAACGAATGGCTTTCCCTTCAATTCATTCATTTGTTGTACGAATTGTTGTTTCAATTCAATGGGAAATGTCTCAAAATGTGACCCTATTTTCCCGTCGATAGTCACGTCTCCGTTTAGACCTTTGCGGGCGATATTCATATTCGCACCGATTTTCAAACGCCCCGTATTTTCCACAATAATATCCAACGTATGGGTTGTTGTGTTTGCAAATTGAGAGTCATTTACATTCAGTTCGTAGTCTTTAGTGCTGTCCACGAGTCCCACCGGATTGTGGTCTACGAGTATAACCGCCCGATCAGATGCGCCGCCTGTATAATAAACAAATGTTTTTAATTAAAAATTTACATTAATGTTATTTTATTCAAATTACCGGTAAGTTTCAAGTGTTTGAATTTTTGTAAATTTTTGAGTCTATAATTAATAAAACCATAGTTTTGGCCATAATTTGGTCCCAAATTCAATAACTCCATATGCGTTGGCTTTTCGGTGACGATTGGCTTGATTTTGCTCAACACGTCCTCCAGAGACAGATAGTCAACGACTTTAACCTTTCCGTAAGCCTTGGGTTTGATTAGTTCCGGAGGTTTAGGTATCAGTAGTTTTGGTTGACTCCTCTCTTTGTTAAACTTTTCTATCAATTCCTTTGTCTTCCAATACTTATCCGTATAATTGCCTAAAAAAGTAAATACACATTAAAATTAGTGTCTATTAATTAATGATTTACATAACATTAAAACATATTGTTAACCCCTACTCCCTTCCCACCCCGACATACCTGATTCAGAAATGGGTGCGTTATAGTCATAACTAGTCACCAGATTTGGACCGCCATTCATGAACCCAAAGTTAGTGCCGCCGAAAAACATGTAGAAATTGATGGATGAGTTGGCGTTGAATATAACGTCAGTCACCTGTTGTTCGAATGTCTTAACGCTATAATAGGCGTGTTTGCCGCCCCATTCATCAAACCACCCTGGCCAAAACTCAGACACGTACAATGGCTTATTAGGTTGCGCCTGACGGAGCTCGGTCAATAGTTTCAACGATCTGCTGTTGAAATTGATTGTTTCCAAAACATCTATCACAGTATTTAGTGAGACATAAATTTACTGTTTTTACATGTTGGTCAACCTTCTCAAATGACTAAATAATAACCTAAACAATAGCATTACATACCCTTTTGTATGGTCTTGAGTGCCGTTAGGGGTGTCTCCTGGGAGTCGCAGTTTGTGAGCAACTCTTTAAAACCACTGTTGATAATAGTATTCCTCATGAGATCGAAGTATTGTCGGTCACCAGCGCTACGAATACCCCCGAACTCGTTCTCAAACTGCAGGGCTATAATGGGTCCGCCCTTTTGGAACTGGAACTCATTGATTAGAGCCAACACACGCTTGAAATAGGCCTCCACTGCCGTCAGGTATGGCCCGTAGTTAGTCTTGAGCCGCATGTGTGGGTCGCGTATGAGCCACGCGGGGAATCCTCCCAATTCCCACTCGGCGTCAATGTATGGCCCGATTCGGAACCACACAAACAGATCGGCGTCTTTGACCGCCTGTAGGAATG